TATAAATTGTAAAATTATACATCATTATATGATTTAAATATATAATTATATTTTTTGTAGTTTAATTATAAAACTAGTTAGAAGCCTACCTATTACCGAATGGTATAAAACTTGCTTGGATTAAATAAGAGAAAGTTTTCCAAGCTCTGTTCAAAATAGGCCCAGCTGGAATATACTATCTCACATTGTTTCCATAATAAATTATACATAAGTTATTTTCGAAACCATCATGTTAAATATACTTAAATTCGCAACAAATTTTCTGTCTGTAGTAAAGCCATATATGCATTTTCTTGATTATGTTTGCAAATGTCACTCATGCTTTTCTTTCTAAGATATTAGCCATATTAACAAAATATATTACTGTTATTATATAAAATTTTATATTGAAGAATCCATAGAATTACCCATAATGATATCCACTCCAATTCCCAATATCACTTTTAATTATGAAGCTTATATTCTTATTCTGTGTTTAATAAGAAATGAGTTCATTTAAGTCACTTTTCTGTCCATGAATTTAGAAGTTTCTACTGGAATATGATTATTCCCATATGACAACAATGACTAAAAAATAGACCAAATTATCCTCCATGTTTACCTCATTAAATCAAAGAGTTAGTGTAATGAGAACTGATGAAATAAGGACATTGAAAGTGGATGTCAGTTTGGAGTTCTGGGCAATCAATGGGGACTCTGGTAGTGGGTAGTATTTATCCTTAGTTCACTAGTGGATTTTGGGAGTCCATTACACATAGACGGATACTCTCTCAACCTACACAAATTGGGTATTGTCTAGGCGCTGCTCAAAATGATATGACAGTCTTTGAATATCATCATGGAATGCCTTACCCTCCCACAGATTCCCAGCTGCTGGAAAAAAAATGTGTAAAGCCTGGGCCCAGTTCAGTATTTTACTTAGAAATGTGACAAAGTTGTCTCTTTGTCTAAAAATCTTGATGTGTAAATGTTTCTTGAAATATTGAAAAAAAAAAGGCACATTGAAACTTGACTTCAAATATGAGAAATTTGGCGTGATAAAAGTAAAAATAAAGGAAATCCTGATTAGTGCAGCAGAGTACTGCAGACTACTTTTAAAAGATACAGGAATACTGGGTTTAAATAATACTCAAAAAAGTTTGTTGGAATGTTAACAAAGTAATCCTTCAAGCAGCAAACCGAAACCATATGCTGGCTTGGATGCTCAGAGCTCTTAAAGCATTGTAGAACAATAAGGATTTTTTTATTTTTTAAAACTGATTCAACAAGTATTCTCCTACTGCCATCTAAAAACCTTATCTCTTACGTTCATTAGTACTATGTGTCCTCCTTGATGTTCCATTGCTCCTTGTGAAGGAGAGCCAGCAACATGTATTATTTCTTTAAATCTTGCTCTTCCCATAATTCCTGCCTGAAAGTAGTTGTTATTGGCATATTTATAATAGAGCAGGTAGCTTTAGTGAATGTTTACCTTTTTGTTGCCTTAAAAACTACAAAACAAGTATTTAGTGGATATTTCCATTAAAAACAAAGGTTTATTTGTTAAGTTTTTATATTAGTGCTTATAGCTATGACTTTACCAGGAAAAGTATAAATGTAAAATTATGTAGCTGCATTTAGCACTAAAATGACTAAAATTTTCACTTCTATAGGGGACCATGTAAGTCTCTCTTAGAGTCCTCCTTGTTGCCTAACTTCTGTAGTGGACGAGATCTCCTGAGCTAATTGAGAGCCTAGTGAGTGGTGAGTAGCTTTGAGGCCCTATCCCCAATATATGACAGATTTTGAAGACCCCCATGGAAGACCACACTGTCCCTGGGTCCCTGAAATTGTATGGGTTAGGTAGTATGTTAGTTGGGGCCAGGGGAGTATGGGTGTGAGTGGGAAGGGGAAATAACCTTTTTTTTTTCTTTTTTTTTTTTTTTGAGACAGGGTTTCTGTGTGTAGCTTCGCAGCCTATCCCGGCACTCACTCTGTAGGCCTTGAACTCATAGAGATCTGCCTGTCTCTGCCTCCCTCTTGTTTCTATTTTAAATTAAAAAGTGGAGAAAATACATAATTTTCATCTAAATGTTTTGACTTTCATCTAAAAATACAGACTTTCATCCAAAATACAGAGAATTTACGATACTCTTGTTGAAGGGTACCGTGTACACATTAGTCAATGTGAATTGTCTTTAACAGTTGTTTCCTCTCTTAGAATGGTTTATTAGTTTTTTTCATCCCAATGAGACACATCTCCTATTGGCAACACCAATTAAATCTGAGAGGAAGATGGGCAACAAAGAGGCTCATTCTGGATTTTGATTTCAAAATGGAATAAATAGCCATTTGAACAAGATACTGTTCTTGCTTGAACTACTTGATAGCATGTTGTCCAATCTGGGTAGGAAGGTTACAAAGAAAATTGATTGTTGTTCTTACCAATGGACAGGATGGTCCTTCAAATCCCTGCTTCATTAAAAAGTCTGACAGATTCTTGACCTATAGGCTAACGAGGGATTCCCCAATATTGCAGAGGTAAAATGAGTTGTGATCTAGGAATCAAGATGTTGCTTTAAATCCAAGAGATTATATGTTATCCTTCTGCAATCATTGATGGAGTTGAAAATAGATAACTATGGCTATGATTTTCATTAGTTATGATAAAAGATAATTTACATATAAAATTTTAGACTCAGAAATTAGGATAGATGATAGAACATTTTCTTTAAATTTTGCCAAATGATAATGGACTAAATCTTGTTAACTATTATTCATGCTGAATAATTATACACAAACAAAGACAGAGACAAACACACAGACACACACACAATACCTTATTATGTTAAAAATAAAACATTCATATTCATATAGCATGAAAAGGGGAGATGAACAGGATGTCCTCATGTGAATATTGTTTCTCTTTTGGTTAATGAATGATGCAGTTTCAAGCAATGAACTTGTAGGATGTATCAAGGCAGGAAATATAGGTGGGGTCAAGCAACCAGGAGAAATCTGGGGGAGTAACACAGATAGTGAGTCTCAGAATAACACAGTGGAACTCATTGGAAGATTGGATGCCCAGGTATTCTCCTATAAGCCAAGACCACGTGGAGATTCACACATCAATAGAAATGGTTTAATAACTAAGACAGAGTTAGCCAATATGAAGGAGGAGCCTGGGGCCAAACAATTTATAATAAACATAAGCCTCTGTGGTGTTATTTGTGACTGAACCACCTCACTATTGGGCAGACAGAAATTTCTGCATAAACATTGCTTTTTGTTGATCAATAACTGATTTCCTTTGTTTTATGTAAAGGAGTGTTTGAGGACCCTGTTCTCACATCTAACATCTTCATATTTTGATTTCATGATATAGACAAGTAAACATCTGGTTGCAGATAAACTCTGTCCTTTCTGATTAGCTTTCATAATGCTGGAAATATTTTACATGATTCTGATGGAGAACAATCATTAGTGTAAATAGCACTGGGCCATAAACTCTAAAAGTGAACAAATGAAAATGTCAAATACATTTTATAATAAATTCTTTTTCTTCTTAGGATATCACACATAAAAAGCCCATCCTTTGGTCTTATATGGTGACTGTGTCCCTTTTCAGATGATATCATATTAATGCACCATGATGTTAACATGTTTGTTTTTAACCAAGAAACTGTACATCTCACTAATTTTAATTCCTCACATCGAGGTCTTTTTTCCTTATTCTGTTCATGCAATTATCTCTATTATATTCTATCTTGTCATGGTTGTGTAAGAAGTAACTTGTCTAGAAATATGTTAACATTTTACATCTGTATAAAACACATAAAAATGAGGAAATGAAGGCAAATTCTAAAGTCAGTTTTATTTTCAGAAGTATGTAATAAAAATTATTAATATATGTTTTACACTGGTTTCACTATTTGAGTGATGTAGCAGATTAAAGGGATGAGAAGACCTTTTAAATTCTAAATGAAAAGTTTAAACCACCTAGTGTCTGGTATCTTGATCATTTTCCTTTCTGTTCTAAACAACCGTGGGATCAAGAATTGGGTTTGAGCAATCCTATTATGCACATCCTGTGAGGAATATACCCCATGACTTGACACTCGCAGGACAATTTCGCTCTTTGGTAGACATTAATGGAGAACATAGCGTTAAGCCAATGTTTTGTAGATATTGTCAAGATGAATTCTGCACAGAAGCTAACTCTAGACTATAAGAGAACAGTAAGCTTTACAGTGACTATAGGAGATTTGTGTTTATCCTTATCTGCTAGATGATTCTGCTTGTATGCAGTTCACTTCAATCAAAATCATTGTTCATGCATGGAGTACAGATATGTTTATATCCTTCACATGCACCTTTACAGATGTTACTACTTGTACTTTCAATTACTCAAAAGATTTCATAAATAAAACTGTAATGTATTCTCCATTCCGAAATAGATATGCCATGGTAGAGGAAACAGCAAGACTCCCTTAGGGTATGTCAGATTCTAAATCTTCAAGTGATATATTATTACTCTAGGTACTGCAGCATTTCATGTCCCACAAATAGTTTTCACAATTTTAAAGAAAATAAATTGAATAAGCAGGAATCTCATTGTTCTACTAGTGACAAGATCAGGTTAATTAAATCTGTACTAAAGGTATAAAACAATCCCTTTATGTCCTAATATGTATGGGTAGTGTCTCCTGCATATATCAGGAAGTGTTAGTTGCATTAGTCTGGGGAAACAGACACAGTGTTTTTGTTTTTTGTTTTTTTTTTTTTTTGTTATTGTTGTTGTTTTATGCCTAAGAGCAATTGAATTTCATAACACAGCCAAAGACTGACTGGTAAGAACCTGTAATTCTGACATTTAATTTCTCCTTCCCTGTCAGTGAAGGTCTGTGTGCATTTAAATTTTGCTGGGTATAGGGAACCAATAAAGAGAGTGATCTCATTTCCACCAATGGAAAGAAAGTCCTTAGAAAAGCTTGCAGATCTGCTTCCGAGGTGCTGATTCATTTCTCCCTCACAAGTAAACGTGTGCTGCCAGAGAAACCACAAAATAGAATTTGGATAACAGAAAATATGAAACTCATCCTAGGTCATGCATACAATAACAAACAAAATAGAAACGCATCCTGGGGTAAGTAGGGATGGATATTTATCCAGCAGCTTGGGTCTATATCCAGGAAATTTATATGAAATCCTCAATCTCAGGCTTCTGACAGTTGATTATGATTCGGAGCTGTGAACTGCAGCTGGATTGAAGTGATTTTTGATGTCATGTCAGAATCGACAGATGCACTTATTTGTGGAAACTGGCATTTCAAATTCACAGAGTATCAGATGGCTAAGTAATTATTCTCACTAATGTAGCCATTTACATTGTGTCCTCCATGGGCATGTTTAATCAGCAAAAGCATGTGTTCGCCAATTATTGAGCTAAAGTAAAGCTTCCTTGCACATAATGCATGTTCCACGAGTGAGCCAGTAATCACAGATATTAAAACTGAAGCCATGGCTTCCGCGACAGGGGTATATTTTCTTCCCAGCAAACAGCACCAGTTAATCATGGATTGTGGGAAATATCACCAATCACCTACCCTATCCTAGGTTTTAATTGCCCCGGTCTCCTGGAGTTCTCTGGGACAGATTGCATTCTCTGGGGTTGTTTTCAACCAAGCTTGGCCTAAATCCAGCCAGAGCTGGATTTTAGCCAGGAGCCTGGCTGGAAAAATCCTCCACTTGTGTCATTTTTATAAGATGTGAATGCCTCCTATTGGAGGAGTACATGCAGGTAGACGTGCATTAGGGACGAATCAGGAGAGAGAACACAAACCCAGGCATGGAAACAAATGACTGCAGTTCTTGGTGCTATCCATCAGAGCTACTGATTCATCAGTCTCTCCCTCCCCCCTTTTTGTGGGAAAGAATCAGGGTAATTGTAGTGGGAAGACAGGATGAAATATAATTGAACTATTCCTCTGCCGCTATTTCGTAGTAGACAGCACTGCCTAATGCTGCCTGGTGGCTGAGCAAATTTCTCCCTGCTTTTGCCGATATTGAAACTATATGCCAGACTGTCTACTGACCTGTCAGGTTTTTCATGATTGAGACATATTTTTGCCGAGTGTTTCTGCATGCATCCTCTTTGTGATTTCTGTTCCTAATTTTCTATGTTTTTATAGTTGAATTATATGTGTAGTGTATTTTATGCAAATTATGTCATATTCATTCATGCAATTTACAAATATATTTTATGTCAGTAAATTATAATGCCATCTGTCCCATATGTATACATAATTACATATGAGTCATAAATAAAATCTGCTTCATTTGAAGCAAAATTGTTTTTTCAATCTATCTGCCAAATTGATTTACCTGAATCACAGTCTCTTACATTGTCTTCACAAAAAGAAATAAATTAATGATTTCTTATTTTAGAAAGAAGATTTTAATTGTCTTTAATTCTCAAATAAATTTCTGTAATACAAATCCTAATAGGTTATTGCCTCGTTTTTTATCATTTTCAAATATATTTATTAATATTAATCGATGACAATGTTCTTTTGAAGAATCCACATATTTCCCAACAATAGAATTTCTCTTTAACTTCAATAATCACTTTTAATTTTGTTTCTTATTTTTTGTTATCTTTGATAATACTTAATTTTTAATGTGGTTTTATGTGCATTAAAATACATACATTTGCTGGAACATGAGTGTTCCAAATGTAAAGCAATTCTGAAAAACCAGTACAACTATGCTCCTCATTACTTTATTAGGTGAAAAGTCACTCTAATTACTGATTGCATTTCTTAGTTCTATTCCCAGTGATATGGCGTTTATTTTATATGGAGAGATATGGAAAAATTTAACCACTTAACCTTGAAGTGCAATAGTTTTCTCAGTCAGGATCCTGTAATGATCTATTTGTTTTAGTTCTTGGCTAAAGGCATCCATACATGGACACATTTGGTATTCAGAGATATTCCTATGTAGATGTGGAACTTGAATTATGAGGATAAGAATGTACGTTTGATATTCCTCTATGATTATGTCATCATGAAAAATTTCATTTGTGCTCTTTACAAGCTGCACTTTGATGGGATACAGTTTATTTAACTCAAGGTTAATGTGTATGTTAGTGGCTTAAAAGTAAGTAAAAATGAAATCCCTCACTCCCACGTGCTACATGCCTTAATAGAAAAAAACATACTAAGTGATTTTTAGGTATATTTTGTCTCTGTGTCCAAAAACTGAGAAAAACTATAATTATGAGTTTTTCTTTCAAGACCATTAGTTGGTAGAAAAACCACAAGCTGCTTTAATTGCCAGGCATCAGACACCAAAATGATGACCAATATAAAAAAGGGAAATTATTTCATTCTGTCAGGGCATACTGAAATAAACTGAATATGAGTCAAATATTGATGTACACAATGTTTGTACATCAGGCACAAGTGGGAAAATAAAAGAGAAGTATGTAAGTAAGGTTTTTCTAGAGAACCTATATTCATGGTGTCCTATGTTCTGATGTTTAATGCCTTCATCATAAATATATGGAATGTCACATACTTGTATTGAGAAAATGGCCAAAAGATTCCAACACTTTCAGGTGATTAATGATTCCAAAGAACCAATCATTTCCAGCCTCAACTTTACTATCAGACATAATAACTCAGAGTCTGCCATAGGAGGAACACCTCATGATGTCATGGTTTAAAGCATTCATAAACTACCAAAGTAAGAACAAAGAAGTATGGTGTTTAATGTCTCTCAGCCATCATCAATAAACCATTAGTTTCTGACGATACACATGCCATAACTGATCCTAAAGATTGTAATTTGCTGACATGTAAGATCAAATCATGAAAATATTTTTATATGCCAAAATGCAGTGACAATATGAATGCTGAATGCAAAGTTGAACCTCTGAGAACTTGATATGAACAAGGTGATAAAAAGAATTTCCAGTGTTATATTGTGTTATCAATTGAAAATTTAGGTGACAGGGTAGTGTCTATAAATGTTACTGCTATAATTTCAGTCAATCTGCTATTTAATGTACATAACTACAATCTCATGGAGTTAATGAGAACTTTGTGGTAGCCAGAATCTGTCTGGTAAGAAACTGCAATTCTCACAACTTGTAAGCTCTCTCTATTGGTCTGGGTGCATTCAAATTCTGCTTTTCATCTGAATAAATTAGGAGAGTGATCTCAATCCACAAATGAAAAAGAAAAACTAGAGGCAATCTTGGAGATATCCTTCAGAGCTACTGATTCATTTCTCCCTCTAAACTAAATATGTGCCTCCTGAGAAACAGTAACATGAAATGAATAACAGGAAAAGTGTAATTTATACTAGTTACTGAATAAAGTAATTAAAAGATAAAAATATTCCTGGCAATTAGGGGGTGATTTTATAATCTTTTGCCTACATTGAAGATATCTACATGGAAGCGTCCCATCTGGCCTTGTGATGGTTGAATTTAAGTCTGTGCTGCCATTACAGCTTGCTGATACATGCTCTGATATGCTGTGTCAAATTACCAAATGCAAATATTTGTTGAATCTCTTACTTGAAATTCACAAATTCCCAGGCGACTATGTGGGATTTGTGTAAAGCAAAACTTTTTCTTAGAGAGTGTGTCTTTCAAGGGAGCATATCATTAATACATTCCTTGCTATCAGGCATTGTTTACCAAATAAACATCCCTTGCATATTGTGCAAGATAGAAGGATTATTCACAATTACACAAATGTTGAAAGGACAAGAACCGCCAATGTTTCCTCCAAGGACACCTGATCAATCCATTCAATGCACAATTATTTTTAGACACAGAAAACATTGTCTCCAATGAGCATATGCATTTTAGTAACCAAAGGAAAGGATATCTGTGTGAAGGTAGTGTCTATTAAAAGGAAGGAAATTAAGAATCAAAAGGTTACATTGATTCTGTATTGTTTTCTTTGTTACTACTTTTTTAATTGTTACTACTTTCTTAATTTCAACACTCAATTTGATAATTTACTGGCTTCCACTACTCCAGGGTGAGTTTGTTTATTTTTGTTCTAGACCTTTCAGTTGTGCTTTTAATTATATATTTTGACTGGATGGAATGTTATATAGATGTCTGTTAAACACAATTGGGTCATAACATGTGTCATTTACTTTCTTTCTTTGTAAAATTTCTGTGTGGTGGTCCTCTCTAGAGTTGAGAATGGGGTGTTGAAGTCTTGCAATATAAGTGTGTGAAGTCATGTTTTATTTGAGTTTTAGTAATGTTTCCTTTAGGAAATTGTGTGCTTTGTATTTGGGGCATAGATGTTCACAGGCAAATGATTGGAACTAAAAAAAAAAAAAAAAAACATTTTGATAGAGGCAACCCAGTCACTGAAAGGCAAACATGGTCGATACTCACACATATACGTATTCTATGCATAGAACAAAGTATTTCCAGCCAACAATCAATATCACCAGAGAAGCTAGGAATCAATCCTGACTCTTGAAGAGGCATATATGCTCCCTCAGAGAATGGGAAAGTGCCAAGATATCCTGAGAAATTTAGGAACATGGCATGAGGGGAGAGGGAGTCAGGAGAAATTGGATGGGAGAAGAGGATAGGAGAGGAGGACATGAGGGTCAAGAAAGACTGAGATGGGGGACAAGATCAAGATAAGATATCATAATAGTGGAAGCCATTACAGGTGTAAACAGAAATCTGTTACTGTGAAATGTCCAGAGATCTACAAGGATGACACCAAATAACAATCTAAGCAATAGTGGAGAGTTTACATTAAATGCCCTTCCCTGATAATGAGATTGATGACTAATTTTTATGCCATCCCAGAGCCTTCATACAGTAGCTGATGGAGGTAGAAGCAGAAAACAACAGCTAACCACTTAACTGAACTTCTGGAATGCAGTTGCAGAGAAGGAGTGATGAGCAAAGAGTGAAGATCAAACTGGTGAAACCCACAGAAACAGATGTCCTGAACAAGGGTGAGTTCTTGGCCAGAAGACTGATAACTGGGAAACCAGCATGGAATTTATACTGGCTCCATGAATTTGGGTGTCAGGGTAGAGGCCTCAGAAATATATAGGGCCTCTTTTAGTAGTTCAGTACTTTTCCCTAGCATAGGAATGGACATTCAGCTGCTATTTCACATAGAGGGAAATTACGTCAGCCTAGACACATGGGGGAGGGCCTATTCCCTATCCCAGAGTCTATGACAGACCCTGGAGACCCCCTATGGAAGGGCACAACCTCCCTGGGGAGCTGAAAGTGTATGGAATATATAGGGTGTTAGTGCAAGGCAGGCTAGTAGGGGAGGGAGCGGGAACTGGGATTGACATGTTAAACAATTTTGTCCCTTATCTAAATAAAGCATGTAGTGAAAAGGAAATAAAAAATTCATTTTTAATAAGACAGATGATAGGGGATGATTGTTATGTTCTTCTATATGCAGTGAATAAGTGTTTCTCTTATTGGTTAATGTGTAATGCTGTTTAAAGCAATGAAGAGGTAGGATGTAGACAGGTAGAAAATGTAGTTTGGGAGAGAAACACAGATAATGAGTCTCATGAAATACACCTTGCAACTACTGAGAAGTCAGGAAGCTGAGGTATTCACTTGTAATCAAAGACCACATGTAGCTACACACATTAATGGAAATGGGATATCATAAGAAAAATCTTGGCAAAAAAAGTGTGAGCATTTGGCCAATCTTTTTACAATCAACATAAGCTTCTCTGTGTTTTCTTGTGACTGAATGGTCTTGGATTGTGCTAAACAGAAACCTCTGCATACACATTTCTGATAGTTGAACAATAAGTAAGTTTTGCTGTTTTAAATGCAGAGATGTTTGAGAGTCCCTGTTCTCACAGTTCACATGATCAACAATGTGTACCTTGGAGGTGGGAATGGAATAACGGGAGGACAGAGGAGAGCAAAAGGACTGAGACAGGGGAGGAGTAGAGGAGGGCAACAAAGGAGATGCCTTGAGAGAGGGAGACTGTGCAGGTATGGAGAGAGGTCAGGTTTAGGGTAAATGATAGGGGAGCCACAGGAATGACCCCAAATAAGAATCCTAGCAGTGGTAGGAAAGATGTCATTGATGCCCTTCTCTTATAATGAGATTGATTTCTACCTTGGCTATAATTCCTAGAGCCTTCTTCCAGTAGCTATTCAAAGAGAAACTGGTACCCACAGCTAAGCACTTAACCATACTTCTGGAATCCAGTTGCGAAGAGGGAGGAGGGATGAGCAATGGAGCCAAGATGGTGCTGCAGAAACCAGCTGAAACAGTTGAGCTGACCTAGTGAGAGCATGGAGAGCCTAGTCATAAATCAGGGGAAATAGCATTGGATGGAACCAACCATTCTAAATGTGGTTGCTATGAGACCAAGACATCATATGGGACCTCTTACAGTGGAGCTAGTCTTTAACCCTAGAGCACAAATTGACATTGGTTGCACATTCCCTCTGAAGGGATACTATTACAAGGCAGACACAGAAAAAAGGGCATAGGCCCTCCACTAAATGATATGACAGAGTCTGAAGGTCCCTGTAATAGGGCCTTACTATCCCTCAGGAGGAGCTGGGGGATGGGTTGGAGGGCTAGGGCGGAACATGAGAGGATGGAAGGGCAAGGGAATGGGGGGTGGACATTTAAATATGAGTAGTAACTAAAGAATTTGAATTAAAAACATCAAAAAAGAAACTGTATTGACCACAGGAGTCACTGTCTAACAGTTATATGCAAACTTTTATTCAAGTGTTTGTCATCCTTATCCCAGTTGGTGTTTTTTATTAAGCACACACACACACACACACACACACACACACACACACACACTAATGCAGAATGCGATTAAATTAGATGTTAATGGAGTCAGAACTAGTTTGAAAAACATGTGGGTTATTAGGAAAATACTCATGAGACAAAACCAGTTATGTACTACCAGGTAGGTGAGGGAAAAGAGAGAACCACATGCATGTGACACTCTTATTTACAGCCTTGCTACATCACTCTGAAAATGTCCAAATATATGTGGTCATCATCACTTGTGCCAGCTCTCAAACTGGCATGGGTAGCATTCCCCCCTACAACAGACCACTCTTAGCGCTGAAATGATGGAATGGTAATTGTGGTTTAATTATTATGTATACTCTGTCATCATTAATTTTTATGTAGCTAAACTCTTATTTATTAAAAACAGCTTCAGAATATACATAAATATAATGCAACTCTGAAATTAAAATCATTATTGGAGATTGTAGTCTGTAAAATATATACTCCTATTCCTATTGTATAAGATAATTTAATATTGCTATGGCCAATATTCTAAAAGGAATGTTTAATCTAAATAAATACATGTGCCTCCTTGTAGTAGGAAAAGAGAACATATGATCCTATATTAACATTATATACCCTCATATATTTTGCCTACTACATTTGGCTTTGTTATATTAGAATCCAAAAACATTATAGAAAAAAATTTAAAAAATAGTAATAATAATGTGAGCATATATTCTCAAAATGGGTATGATGTTTGTTCTCAATGACACAGTAATATAAGGAATTGTGTGTCTGGGTGTCACTCTGTGTGTGTGGATAGCAATAATCATATGCATAACATTAGAGATTTACTGGTGAAAACAAGTACCAGAATTGGAACACTCAGCAAAAAGTTAAGACTCAATCAAAGTAGTCAATAAGAATATTGTAATACTATATGAACTTTGTAAAGATGTTTAATGTGTCATAACAAATTATTTAATTGACAATTTGAAAAAAATTAAGCCACATGTGATTGATGCTGCCAAATTATATAAGTCCTGTGTAAGGGACTGAAAATTATTATTCAGAAGAGTTAATCGGGAGACTAACACAATAGCAACAAAAATTTTTGTTACATGTATGCTTGCAGGTAACTTGAAAAAGTGTAATTTCAATTGAGTAATAAAAATACTATGAAATATTATGGAAAATTAGAATAACACATGAATCATGACTTCTGTAATCATTGCATGAAGTAATAAGTTATACGTCCATGATTTCATTTTATATAAACATACATTACTACTTAATATTTACACTTTGTCTAAGAAGTACCTCATTTGTATCAAGATACATCTTTCATTTTCTAAAACAACACAGTGATGAGAGATATAGGTATTTCACTTCAGAAATATTTCTATATGTATACATTGTTTCATATCCCTTTCTGTAGGGAGTGTCTGGACACTCCCTACAGTTTCTAAGACACATCTAATCTACCTCTTAACACATCTAATTTTGTTATTGTAAAGTAATAAGGTCAATCAGTATAGACCTATGTACCCATGTTTTGGGGCATGAAAAGCCAAGTAATTGGTGATTTCTACCACATCAGACACAAACAAAGTGAATAATTCTTAACCAGATGCTGACACAAATTTTAGTTACAAATACTTTGATTTCATGTTTTAGAGAAGACAATCTTCCAGTTGTAGGTAAGCTCTGTCTTTTTTAATAGCATTCATTATACTGGATGCTCTCTTATCCTGTACACCTGGGGCATGGCTTAGGCCAGGCTCAGAATGATGTGGTGGAATTTGGAGAACTCCCAGGGAGGGCTCTCCTGTCTCTGGGTAGCAGAAGTAAGATGTAATGGCAGGCAGGTGGGGGGTAAGGCTAGAGGGGAAGGAGAGGGGAAGGGATTGACAAGTTAAGAAAGCAGCTTGTTCCTAATTTGAACTAATAAAAATACCTAATGTAGAAAAATCATAAGGAAAAACCGTATTTGCTAATGGATTATAAACCTGGAAATATTGCAAATGCCAAGTTGAATATAATTAATTGCAAATTATTGACTATGTTTTAGGATATCAAATAAAACAAGCTAACATTTGGGATTACATATTGACTGAGAGCAGATTTCAGATGATATCATATTAATGGATGAAGACGTTAACATATTTGCTTTTAACACAGAAACTGTAGTGCAGACTTATTTTCCTTCCTCAATTTGAAATGATTTTTCCTTATTCTGCTTAATATATATATATATATATATATATATATATATATATATATATGATGAAATAAAGTTAAATACTATACTCAAATTTATATTTACCCTTATATAATGGAAGTATTAATATGTATTTTGCATTGGTTTCAATATTTGAATGATGGAACAGATTAAAGTGATGAGAAGACCTTTTAAATTTCAAATGTGAATCACCTAATGTCTGCTATTCTGATCACTTTCCTTTCAAAACTATAGATATGAGGGTTGAAGAATCTGGTCTGGGTATTCCTGGTCACAAGTGTACCATACAGACTATATCCAATGACTTGACCCTACCATAACAAAGACTGTTGTATTGCAGATGGTAGTGAAGGGCAGGGATTTATGACAAAGTTTTGCAGACACTGTTAATCTGAATCCTGACAAAGGCTATGTATAGCCTGTCAGAGCACAGTGAGAGTGACAATGTGTTGTGTAGGTTTGTATGTACCCTTTCCTGCTAAATGATTGTGCCTGTGTGCTGTTCTATTCAAGACAACCATTGTTTGTGCAAGTGGTTCAGATCGGTCTGTATCTTTCACATGCATTTTTGCAGATATTACTGCTTGTAATTTCAGTCACTCAAAGAATTCATGAATAAAACTACAATGTAATAGCCAGTCTCACAATGGAACTCCTAGGGTAGAGGAAACAGCAGGACTCCTCTAGTCTATGTCAGATACATAATCCTCAAGTGAAGTAGTTTTAATGCATGTACCGCTGACCTTGAATTGAAACAAATTTCTCAGTTTTCAAGAAATTGAGTAGCTCAATAAGGAGGAATCTCCTTACTGTAGAGGTGACAAGATCAGGTTAATCACAGTTGTACAAGGAATCAAATAATCCTTGAATTTACTAATTCATATGTGTTCCCTATTGTGAATAGATACAGAACAGTTAGTTGCATTTGAATGGGAAAATAGACAGAGGGCCATTGAGGGCCC